CCAGGCTACAACCATAGCTTGCTTCCACCAGTGTGTGAGAGCAAATGAATAGTGGCATTGTAAAGCGCTTTGGGTGCCTTGAAAAGCGCTATATAAATCCATTATTATTATTATTATTATTAAGAACAGCAGCGACTACAGGAATCAACATATGACCGAAATTTACGGTCATATGTTGACTAATGTAAGCTAATGTACTGAAGGGCCTTTTGGAAAGACCCAATCAATAGTATACATGTCTGCTGACCATGTCCCCTAAAAAGCCAGGAAATAAATAAATTCATCACAAGTACCTACTTTGAATTTATGACCCAAACATGTCCTTATTAATCTGTCATAATAAGTGTCAGTCTTACAATCACAAACCAAATATAATCCTGACCTGGTGGTGGCCACAGAGTGTGTCTGAGCCCAGTTAAACCAATCTGTTTGCTAGTTTTCACGTTGATTTACTGAAAGGCAAAAAATGTCAGCCTCTTGTTGCTCCAAGAGCAGAGGTGGTCAATTATTTTTTCCCTAGGGACTACATGTGATAAATGATACAGTTATATGTGAAAGTTAAAGTGCCCACACACAGTGTAGGGGAAATGCTGAGGATCACCAATAGTATTTAAAGTACATTTAAAAAAGCAGTACTCCAAACACTGATTGCAAACGTATGTATTTTTGCTGCTTTTCATTATTTTAATAATCCTTTGACTTACAAGTTGTATTTTCTCCAACAGCAATGGCTGACTATGCTGAAGAATATTACTTCTTCAATATAAGTAATGACTCGTATTCTGAAGATTATCTTGACAATGAAGACTGGTGTGAAGCTGACGACCACCAGGCTGACGTCATCAAAACCTTCCAAGCTTGCGCTTTCACCGCCATCTTCCTGCTTGGCGTTGCAGGAAACTCCCTGGTGATCGCCACCTTTGCTCTCTACCGCCGCTTTCGGCTTCGTTCTATGACCGATGTCTTCCTGTTCCACCTGGCGCTGGCTGACCTCCTCCTGCTCCTCACACTCCCATTGCAGGCCATTGACACTCACAAGGGTTGGATTTTCTCCTATCATCTCTGCAAGATCATGCGTGCAACCTACGCCATCAACACATACAGCGGGCTGCTGCTACTGGCATGCATCAGTGTCGACCGCTACATGGTAGTAGCACGAGCGCAGGAAATGCTCAGGCTGCGCAGCCAAATCCTAACAGCTGGGAAGCTCACTGCTGTGGGGGTATGGCTTGTTGCAGTGGCTCTAAGCATCCCTGAAATCCGCTTCTCGGGGGTTTCAAACCGCTTCTTTGGGAATTCAAGCAACAAAACTGAAGCGTACTGTGTCATGCAAGTAAGTGGTCAAATAAGACTGGTTCCCAGTGGCGTGATCATCACCATCTTCTGCCTGTCCCTCGCCATTATGGTGGCGAGCTACACTTCGATTGCTCGAGTGCTGTGGGAAGGGCACGCACATCGGCGAGGGAAGCAATGGCAACGGCAGCGTACCCTGAAGCTGATGGTTGCCCTGGTGCTGGTTTTTCTGGTATTCCAGCTGCCGTACACTGCGGTGCTGTGTCGCAAAATGTTTGGCCCGTTCTGTGGTCTGATGTTGGAGTACGTCACCTGCACGCTGGCGTACACCCGCTGTTGCCTCAACCCTATCCTCTACGCCCTGGTAGGCGTGCGTTTCCGTCAGGACGTGTTGAGGCTTATCTACGATTCGGGCTGCCCATATCGCAATCTGGTCGTGCCACAGACGGTGAACTCCACATCAATCTCCGCCTCCTCACCTGCTCTCACCGTGCTTTCGGCATGCTCTCCAACATCTCCCGATGGTCCCGTTGCCTTCAAGTTTTCGGGAACCAAATAAACTCTGAGTGGACAATGAACTGCTTTGCATATATTGTATTATATTGTATTTTTTATATTTCGTACAGCTGTTATGAAGAACCGAAAAGTTGAATAAACATTATTAGAAATGGAACATCTTATATTCAGTTGTTGGTAACTTGTTGGTAAGTCAAGTTGAATGGGTCACCCCATGAACAATCAATACGTTTGTCCTACCTGACCCCTTTAGCTTATATATACATATCTATATCTATCTATATCTATATATATCTATATATCTATATAGATATATATATATTATTTTTATTTTATTTTTTGCTTTTTCAGTGTCATTTCAAACCTAACAAACTTTATGTAATTCTAGAAGATTAACCCTGCACCAAAATATAGGTAAAAAGGAGATCTTTCATGTAACACCTCGTCACATCCAACCACCTATCCCAGATATGACCAGTGGTGGCGCTGTTCCTTAAAAAAAAGTAACATATTCCACATGACTTTTTTCCCATTTTGTTGAGTAACGCCGAACGTTATTTATTACTCATTGGAAAATTAATTATTTCATTCATTACACTACTCTGCATTACGTTTGTGTTGCCCCGTAACATGACCTGAATGCATTGTCACATAATTACCAGTAAACTTTAAGCTACAGCTCCACCCACCAACCCAAATCCCTATCCTGATGACGACACACATTATGTATGAACACACAGCTGACAACACAAAGTGGCAGTGAAAGCCTGCAGAGACTTCAAAGCTACGATCTTACAGACCTGATGTGTCATCAGTGACGATCAGGATCCAGCCGTAAGCATTAGGAGGGCCAGCATCGCCAAAGCATTCATAGCATGAAGACAATGTTTGAAAAAAGGTTACTGTACAAAAATGCAGCTTATTTGAAGATAGACCACAGCTTAGTTATATGTGCTGTTATTCACCGCAGTATAAACGGGGTGACTGACAAGACTGTCAGATGTTTGTATGTAAATATCATATCATGTGATGTTCTTACTTCATTCTTACTGTGACTCTGTAGCCCAATTATTCTTGATTTATTTTGTTTGGTTGTTTTGTATAAATTACAATAAAGTTTCATTTTAATTTTGTAGATATTTGCCTTAAGACTTGCTTTTTGTTTGAATCAACGCCTTACGGTATATTTTAAGAGCTATAGCTGATCTATATAAAACCCCAAAAACTTTCATTTCAGATAGAGGTTGAAACAGCCAGTGAAACCTTTGAATGCATTTTGTCTCTTGAATTATTTTAGTGTGTTTGATTTACCCAACAAAAGCATGTAACTAGCAGGATTAAATAATCTGCATTAACAGACTCCGAGGTGGAGGAACTAGTTGAAGACAAGTTGGTTAACTTTTAGCAGAACTACATTACCCAGCATAAACAGAGTTTCTAATTTAACTCACACTATCTACACTTCTGGTTTCACTGGTTCTCACAAGATAGTCCAAAATGAATGAAGCTGTTGTCTAAAATGTTACATTTTGGGCACCATATATTTTCTTTCATTAAAATTTCATGTTGCTTTTGATTTAAGGGGTTGACACAACAGATTTCTATGGGTTTTATGAGTGTCGGCTATTTTAAAATAACTTTTTGAGAATATTTACCTTTTAGATTAGGTTTAATTACACAGACCTTCCTTTTACTTGCAGGTCTTATTGAATAAATTCAATAGAATTAGGACAGTTTTGCCAAAAAGAAATATAGAATTGCATGTTTTTGGGGAGCAAAGA